ATATATATTAAACTATATTTTTTATATAATAATGATATTAATAAAATTAATATTTAATATTTTATTAAGAAATTAACTCTTTTTTTTAACTTCGCAGGCAAATTTGCCTGCTTTACAGTTTAAGGGATAATATTCTGCTTTAGAAACGAGTTCATCTTGACTGGAAATATCACAAAATGCCTTTATACTAAAGAGTTTTCTCATTAAGGAGTGATATACTTTTTCTCTTGGATCATCACATTGGTTTTCGAGCTTAATCGAAAGATTAATAAAGTTATCAATCCAAGGCATATTTTTTCGATCATATGATAATACTTCATAAACTTTATCAATTACTAGACCTTGACGAATAAGTTCTCGCAATTCTGTATTCATTACTATCAAACTTTTAGGTTGAGTCTCATTGGCTGATATTGAAGTTGCCGATGGTGTAGATTAAATATGTCTTTTATTCTTTTTATGAACCATAATTTTAACTTAAGAAGAGTGAATTTAAAATCTCGAAGAAAAAAATGAAGAAATGGACACTGTGCATGGATCAGCAAATTCTTCTGAGCTGATGATAACTACTCTGATTAAGAAGTTCAGAAATAAAATTGTTTGTAGTATCAATCATACCCATAAACATAGGAAGAGGCATATTATTACTATAGACATCCTCATCATCTGATTCAGTTTCGAAGTAAGAGCTAGAAGATTCTGAATCAGAGCAGTATTCTTTATCAAAATTATTGATATGAATGTTTTGATTGAGCTGATTTATGACTTTTTTGATAATATTTTCACATCCTTCCAAATCTAGAAATTTTAAATTGAGACATAAGCAAGCAATTTCTCTGATAGTTATACTAGTAATATTACATTATTTGAGTTTGAGATGCTGAAATCTTGGGCAGGAACGTATAACATTATAAATTGATAGTTCACTAACAAATAAACAACCATCTAGCTTGAAATGCTCTAATTTATGACATGTATAAGCTAACGCTTCAATAACCTCATTACTAATATTATTATAACTGATCTCTAATTCAGAGATCGTTTGATAATAGCTATAATTAATACATCATTTTGCAAAGCCATAACCTCACTAAAGTCAAGATACTCTATATTGAAGCATCTTTACATTAAAGTACTAGCATCTTTGATATCTTCACAACTAAATGCAATATCAAGTTTTCGTAAATTTAGGCATAAGTTTAAGATGCAACTTATAGATCTATCTGTGTCTAAGCAAAATAAAACTCTTGCAAATTATGACAATTTCCTGTGATTTCAAACAAAGATTTATCGCTAATATTTCTGCAGTAAGAAATATTTAGATATTCTAATT